AGGCTCAAAGTTACCCTCAAAAAAAATCATCATCATAGCACTAATCAAGAATTCTTCCACATAGCTCGAAGCCGTACGTTCACACGCATCGAAGTACCAGTACCGTCGATAAATATCTCCCGTGTTGTGAGGTTATGGCCACACAAAACAGATAAATCGTACTACCATATAAGCTGACCAACGGCAAAAACTGACTACAAATTACCGCAGTTTGTAACACCGCACGCCGCGCAATATATATCCCGTCTATATTTTTCCATTTTTTCTTGATTGGGTATTTTAATACTTTCACAATAAAAGACCGATGTTCGGATCACGAACCACTGCCGCAGCCAACACCTGCCCTAGGTGGCTTAAAATTTTATACGATGAAGATATAAAAAGTAGTCAGGTTTTCTTCAGTATAGGTAATTTTAAAATTCACCTTTATATACACAACCATACGGATACAGATAAAAGAAACATTTTCTCTTTACCGTTCTTCAATTAAGTCCAAAATCAGGGTGCAATGATTTAAATCAACTTGATTTAAATCAAGATTTAAATCGTGAAAAAATCTCTTTTACCCTTTGGGTACGGAACCCTAAAAAGTAATATTTTCACATATTTTTGTACTAGCAGCATTTTAAACATATTTTTCTTGAGCACTGTAAACAAATGTTTTTTTTTCCAAACTGTACAGAGATACTGGGTGTTTCCTTATATCTTGTAAGAGCACCTAGAGCAAATACTTCTCATTTATAGTCACTCCTCTTTAGCTATTGTTTGGCATACCATTTTGGTTGAGCGATCCAAAAAGGCTAGAGATTTAAGAAAATCCATAAATTCTATTTTGCAGGCATTTGAATAGCTAATTAGTTGTATAATATATCCATTTATGGTGCTTAACTGTCAACCATTTGGAAGAAATTGTCATTGGCCATCAATACAACTTTTTTAATATGTATTTATGGTAAATTAATTTTAATATATGTCTGTAATAAAACAAAGAAATAAATAACAAAGACAAACACTATAAAAGTTTGTTTACCGGACTTTAAACGTAAATATCTAATTATTAAGTGATTCAATGCACCTTTTACTTAATTTTTCTTTGCGCTTTGTCGTCAAATAAGTCCAATTCCTGTCCCAATTAAACAAATACAAAAAAAAACACCTAATAACAATAATTACCAACACGCAAAATACTAAACAAAAACCACTGACAACAACTGCAGCACTATTAGAATCAGAGACATGCATTATCGTTGTGCAACTGCGTCGACAATCGCATGACAATATGTCGTGAAGCGATGGAATTGCATGGCTCGGCTACTATACCAGCAAGCTCAAAAATAATAACAATAATATAGAGTGGCATTGTCAGTAGGCAATCATTCCGATAAATTGCCCATTCTATCGACGCCATCTACAAATAACCGGTCGTACTGTGTACTCTAGTTTTATACAAGTATCTGGTCAAGCATCAATTAAAATTTTTGACAATTTTTTTACTTTTCGTTTGAAAATTTCAATCTTTACCAGTTTAGTGCGCTTTTCTAAGTGTATTTTACGTTTTTTTCTACTATTATTTTCAAGAATATAAATCAGGAAAATATTAGGGCGGAACTTGAATTACAGTGAGATTATTACGAGTCTTAGGAAAAATTAATTTTGTTTTTCTGTCAGTTTTCCAAGTTTTGAATATCTATACCAATCTTCTAGATGAGAATCCGTCTTAAATTGTATATTCTGTATTTTCAATCATTTTTTGGACGTTGTTTGTCGCAATCATCCCTTATTCGTTAGACAAAATAAACTACTATCTAGGTAATCATAGAGTTAAAATAAAATATAGACTGAGCATCTCATTCATAAATAGCTGGAACATGCGGTCAGACACTGTCTTGTTATTGTTGTGTTATTGTTTTAGGTTATAACGAGTGCGACACGAGCGATAGATTGGTTGAGGTTGTCTCTGTCGTAACGGTCGTTCCCTGACGACTCTGCCGAGAAACACAACACTGTCTTTCGTTTCTCAAGTACACCTGAACTCTCCGTATCATAGCCGGGTAATTTTTTTATTTTAATGAAGCTATAATTGAATTAAAAATATATCGTATTTAAACTTTTTATATTTTATTAAGATTTAGGACAGGTTTTTTAAATAAAAGTTTTAGAGTCCAAAAAGGATAAAAAAAATAAAATACACGTTATAGAAGAAATTTTATAATCGAAATTAGGTAATTTTTGAAATTAATAATAAATTATTAATTTTAGTCAAACATTTACAACCCCTAATATTAATCAAACCAGGATCTATTCCATAGATATAATAGAATCGGCGACAGGGAGAGAAAAAAAAATATGATTGTTGTAATTTTTTTTCTGGTTAAGTGATGTCTTATTATGTAAATTAGAGAAAACATAAATCTGTTCCATTAAAGCAAGGAAGGTGATAGGAAGTGGATAAAATAAAAACTACATTTATTTAACTCGGTACTGTCTTTATTATACCGGGTGCGTCTCAAAAGTGGCTCATCCCCATAATTTTTTTATATTTTCAAATAAAAAACAAGATTTAGTATGTTAGTATATGAAATAAATTAGGATTGATTGACGCATTCAATTGTTTTTGGTCACTTCCTGTTTCACCGGAAATGACTATAACTTTTAATTTTTAAACGGCACCCTCGGTATATTTCTACTTTATTCGATAGAAAATGACACTCTGAATAGAATGACATATCATATGTCAACTTTTGACATTTTCGCATATGGTTTAATTGTAATTGTAACACGCGGTTCATAACGACAATTTGACTCGAAATACCAAGTGTGTGGTATCAATATATTCATAAAAAATGCTTTTTCCTAATATGCTAATGAGTTACCCTTGTTCCATTTGAAAAAATTGACATATGTATGATTAAAAATACGATTCGTACATCTTTTAACCGGCCTAGACAAGACACGAAACCTATTAGACGATCAAAACTATTTTTCCAAGGCTACTTGATTAAAACTTAGTGGATTGAAAAAAACTGGATTGAAATTTAAAATAGGATATGTTTTTAAGCGACAATGTCAAAAGTTGACATATGATATGTCATTCTATTCAGAGTGTCATTTTTTATCGAATAAAGTAGCAATATACCGAGGGTGCCTTTAAAAATCAAAAGATGTAATCATTTCGGTGAAACAGGAAGAGACCAAAAACAATTGAATACGTCAATAAATCCTAATTTATGTCATATACCTACTAACATGCAAATCTGTTTTTTATCTGAAAAAATAAAAAAGTTATAGGGTTAGCCACTTTTGAGACGACCCGGTATATTAAAAAATATTGTTTCATAATGTAATATCATTTTAAAATTCTTGTATGTTATTTTAGATTCTGAAGATAATTTTAGAATAAACCGGAATATATTTTTAATAAAAACATTATTAATTATTAACAGGGTTATAATTATGATTTTGTTACAATGTAAGTAAGTAAATAATGTAATGTAAGAGAAAAAATTCAGATTTTACATTTTACTAAAATATTATCTAAATAAGCGCCTTTCTACAACAACGCCACTGACTCCCAATGGGTAAATTGAGAGTTGCCTACCGGTCAAAAGTCGTTTCAAGACTTAAATGGATTATTTAAGTCAAATTTCTTGCAAATTTGGCACTGGCGAACCATATTTTATAGTTCTTGAACAGAAAAAGTCAATAAAATAAACACTTAAGCACTACAAGCTAAGAAAATGCGTTAATACAGCCGGGGAGATAGCGGCAACAAAGCTTTACCGCACACGCGCAACACGTACTACAAGGTAATAAATGAATGAATAGGCTCCCTCGCCTCTAATCCGTGTTGTCATATTGTAAAGAACTTATCCTTTTTAAACAGTATCCGACTTATAATTTAGTAGTATAAGAGGACTATTTAATACATCTCTGGAATATTAAAACCTACTTTATTAAACTGTAGTATTAATATCTCAATATATATGTATAACAAGAAAAAAAATATTGATAATATTAAAGACGTGACAACATAGGCTGGATGAGGAAGGCTCGGTCGACTGTACCCAGAAGTAAACATGTGTACAAAAAAGGTTGTTTGTCCGCGTTGAGATGTAAATAGTGTAGTCTATATTTTATTTTAAGTCTATGTAGGTAATACTCGATGCCTGGCGCGACACCTACATAAAACAGGTGCTCAACAAACTGGGAAAATTAAACGAAATTTACGGTTTGTGAGCAGGACGGGGACTTGATGCGTGAAGCGGTTAGCACGACGGCCATTTTGAAACAAAATGACATTCTACGCCGATACCAGTTGGCGGGCTGCACGGCTTTTGTTTTTCTTTCTCGTCTAACCCCCATTTCAAATTTCAACCCCTTTATTTCGTACAATTTTTTAAAATGAAAAGCGGATACTATTAAAAATATAATCTTATTGTATGTTCACTAACAGATTGATTACTACATAAAGACAACCAAATTCCGACAAAAAACTAAGCCATAAAACAGTTCATAACAATCCCATTTTTTATGACTATTTATCTCTTCAATATTACCTAATAAACCTTCATAAACGTCAACAGGCTGTCACTTCACCAAATCGTATTATGATTATTAGCGCCATCATCAACGAGCGCTGGCTTTCCGTTAAATATATAGCCTCACTAAACTCACTCCAGACCCACTTGAATCTGTCAAAACGGGCCAGATAAGGGACCTGGGTAAAGAACCTTTTGTTTGCCCACTGCGCCCGCCTCTCAAGATAAGCCCCAGTGTATTTATAATCTAGATAGCTGCGGCCCGAAAGTGACACTGCGGATGACATTAGAAGGAAGTGTTAGAAATAATGATAACGTTCTATAAATAGTTCGTCTGTCTTTTTTTGTGATGGTTATCTGTAAACAAGCATGTAGTTGTTTTTGAAGAAATTTTAATGGTATTTTTCAAAGAGAAATTTTTGTTAAAATTAAAAAATTCAAAACAACTCAAGTAGTACTCACCAAAGGCGAATAAAACGCCGAACTCTCCACCCCTATACTAGGATACGGATTCTGATCCGTACTAGGATAGGGAGTACCATACATTCCCACGCTCCTAGGGTACTGTAAAGCCGCCAACCGCGCAGAATCGTACTGACAGGAGCACACGCTCTGTCCGGTGACTGGATCGGTCACCAGGGGGCGTCCACTCTCGCAGCACTGCGCTGGACCCGTGGAAGAGGTACCGCCAGGTGATAGAGCTCCGGGAAGTCCGGAAGAACCACCCGGACTGAGGGAACCACCTCCGGAAGCTGGCGAGGAGCCGCTGTTGGTGGTTGGTTGGCCAGAAACGAGTAACTGAAACAAGAGAAATATGTTTGAGAATTTTCGAGAATTAAATGGTACTAGGCATCACGTTGTAGCCTTATTTCTATCTCACAGTTTGTTTCAGAGAATATTCAGATTGGATTCGTTGAAATTTAAATGAAAATCATAGTTAATATATTTTTCAGTGTCTGTATTACTGTGCTAACTTTGCCACAAAAATACCAGAATTCACTGGGGTAAATTCGCACACATCACGCAAAAAATATCCCACTTCTGATATAAGGGCTCTCAATAATAATATTGTTTAGAGGAAAATTAGTATTTTAATAGCAAGAAGTGATCACCACAAATGTTTTTTTATTGAATAATGAATATTTTTCGTATTCTTAAATAATTCAGTCTTCGTAAATTGACACAGATTAAATCATCCCAATGTTAAGGGAACCTTCGACTATAAGATGATAGATACACAATTCTACAGGGAACTCTAACACATATTATTTTACAACTGCAGTAAATCTTGGTTACAACCAGTGTTGGGAATAATCAAATGATTTTAGATTTCAGAAGATAAAAAAAACAGAAAGAAGAAAAACGTAGTAACAAGTCGAGGCATGAATGTGATTATGGTAAATTCGAATGTTCTTTTAATATTTGACATTTTAATTATTATTTTGATTTTTTGCTTTTAGAACCGGAACAAGATGCTGAGACCTTCAAGCCCTCAAATTCGACAATTTAACATCGGACCCATTTGATGCGACTTGGAAGGCCTGTAGCAAATTCGTCTAGACGTTGTCAAGTCTAACGATACAGCTAATATAATGAAGAAATGGTCTTTTTATAGAAATTCCTCAGGATATCGACCGGTAAATTAATTTTCTTATTATAATTTACTCTAAAATTAATAATAACATTACTATTCTCTTCGTCGATTCGATTTTTTTTTTAATTTTTAACGTGTATGCTATATCAAGTTTGAATAAATTATTATTAGTTTATTGCACTTATTTTTTATTGCCCTAATGGAAAAATTTACTGTGCTCGTAAGTAAGTCGCCCCACTATTGATAATTTTCTTACCCTTTGTAGCTAAGGGCTTGTTCAAATGGAAAACTATTTACAGTATAATTATTTTAGGTAGTTGGCTGGGAAATGACTATCAATGACGTTTCATATCAATGACAGCGATCTTCATCATCGATTATACGGTATAACAAGAGTTACTAATAGTGTCGACTTTTAAATGTATAACTCAACAGGGAATGAAATTATTTCATTGTATTAATGATACGGTTCATTAATATAAGGATTTAGGTACATTATATTAATGAAATCTGTTCATTGTACCAATGAATGTGTTCTTCAAATTAATGAACACTGTTCATTGATTTAATGAACTTAAAGTTCATAGAGTTAATGAATTACTTTTCATTGTGCCAATGAAATCGTTCATCGGCTCAAAATTAATGATTTAATTCATTATATTAATGAACTTTTTCATTATAAATATGTCGACTTTTGGTTCAGTGTAACTTGATGTGGGAAGGATGTTTGGATTGTAAGGTATGCGATATAAAGAAATGCTTATAATGCTTAATGCAACAAGGCATTAGGGACTTTTTTCATCAAATCGACATGGATAACAGCTGTATATACAAGACTAATTGTTGAATTGATTATTTAAATCGTATTGAACGAGCAATGCACGCTCGCGTATGCTATTGTGCAAGTCACTGGCATTCAATACGTTTAATAAATCGCCTGTGACATATACGTGGTTGATTTAAACAGTAAAATCGAGCAGATACTCAACAATTTCAGAGAGAACAACCTTTTAAACGGTTAAAAGTTTCAATATAAGGTTCATGTTCATTTTTCTAACTTCTTTAAATATTCAAACTGGAGTTTTTTGAAGCCTTTATAGGGTAGTACTAATTATTTTCTAGTTTTATCAAATTGACTTCAAAGATATATAAACTAGCACAAAGGGAGCATATTTTCTTAATAACATTTTTCAAAAAGTTAATAATTCTATTTAGGTTTATTGAAGAGCACTAAAACCCACATTCAAAAGAATAACTTTAGATATTTTTGATTAGCCCATTTACGAGTTATCGCCGATTTCTTTTTAAATATTTCTCCTTTCTTATGGCCCTGTATTTACTTATGAGCACCAGTCAAGGTAAAAGATAACTGTCAAATGAAGTTGTCATTTCAGAAATTTATCTATTTAGCGCTTTATTATTTTTATTAAAAACTCATACCTACATCGAAAATATTAGCCATGAATTACACTACCGAAGAAAAAGTATTGATGATTAAATGGTATTATCAAGGAAATAGTTATCAAAAGGTGTCGGACATGTTTGCTGCTCTGTATCCGAATAGACCGATACCGGTCTATTCGGACCGATACCGCTCTGTATCCGAATAGACCGATAAATCGGTGCGGAACTCGGAACTCGAATGGCCAGATGCTACGTCTTCTCTGTGTTACTCTATGGATGTGAGAGCTGGACACTGGATTCACAGACCGAAAAGAGAATAGAAGCCTTCGAAATGTATATGTACATACGGATGCTGCGAATCTCATGGGTACAAAGGATCACCAACGATGAAGTACTCCAGCGCATACAGAAACAAAAGAGATACTGAACACCATCAAGGAACGAAAAATGCAATACCTGGGTCATGTGATGAGAGGTGATAGATACGAAATACTGCGCCTCATAATAGAGGGCAAAGTGCAAGGGAAAAGATCAGTAGGAAGAACGCTTGTCTGTGGAAATCTTCCGGGCTGCAGTTTCCAGAGCTACAATTGACATTTGGTTTGGCAGGAGAAGGCCTGATAAGAAGAAGAACCTACATTCTACAAATCTACAATCTTAAATCGTACATTATCTATAGGATCCCGATACAATATACCAGCTCTACTGGATGCTTCTGTCCAAAATACTAACTTATAAAAAAGGTTGGGCTTCCATTTTAGTTGAGAATTCAACAAATCATTCACTTTATACGTTCCATCCCATAGAATTTTTGTCTCAACGTCCAAGCACAGATTTTTTACAAAAAAAAACGTGTAAAATTAAACATTTCAGCAAAAACTCCAATTTTCAAAAGTTACACAAAGGTTAGTAGAGAAAACACCCTGTATTTCGTCTGATTCGTTATAAAAATAATAAAACATCTATTTTTAAAGCATGTTTTTATGTTCCCAAGCATTTTTAAAACGCTATTATTGTTTCTAAAGATGTAAATCAACCTCCCGAATCATAACTTTAAAACGTCCTAATTCCTGCCTACATTTCATTTATCCAACTCTCTATTTTTTCCCGAATAAATTCACGCTAAAGAAAATTAACGACGCCATCGAGAACTGTTATCTGTCAATGTGAAAATTTACCGATTTCAAAATAAAATTTTATTCCATGGATATTTATAATGTTTTCACACTGTATACAGTGCTATAAATAGTTATTTTTAAGCGAGATAGAACCAGAAACTAACTGTTTCTCGTTTGATTTATTAACTAACAGCTTTTAGCTGTCTAACAGCGATCGCTATAAGCATCGGGTTTGAGTCTTTTGTTGTTAGAATTTCTTAACAATGTAAAAGTCATTGTTACAAATGGTTTTCTATCGTGCAATTTAATTATTGGAGTCTTTAATTATTCATTGTTAGTTTTTTTCTATTTGCTTTTTTCATGTAGATTAATTAGTGTTCTTTCAGTTTGTCTAATTTTTATTAGTTTTTTAAATGTTTAGATTGTTAAAATTAAAAAAAATGGTAAAGAGTTCTTTATATTAATTTAAAAGGTTGTTTTAATATATTAACAGTATTTAAAAATTTTATTTAATTAGATCTGAGAAAAATCAAATTTAAGCACAAATATACAAAATGATTGCTGGTATATTTATAAAATTCTTTCAAATTAACAAGTACCAGAGACATGACGAATGTCTAATGGCAGGCTACGTTGCCTTAGCCTCGTTTTTTTTCTCCAATCACCTTGGTATACAACCTTTATTTCATGTTAATCCTGTAGTTACATTACATTAGTTTTTTTATCGAAGTATTTGATAGATTTTTCCGATATTTAAGTTGGTCCACAAATGGAAAAAATACTCATTGAAAACATTTCAACAAAGGAACATTTTTTATTGCCTCTTAGAACAAAGAGGAACTACAAGAGAATATAATGGATTAGAAAAACTTAATACAGAATATTACAACAGGAAAATAAAATATATGCTTTAGTTAACACTCTTAGTTAAATAATGAGGACACATTTACTTTACTTTTAAAATCATTCTATTACCTAACACCTATCGTCTCTGTTGTCTGATTTCCCTCCCCATAGTTTGCATAATATTTTGAAAATCAATAATTATTTATGTATACGGAGTGTCCTAAAACTGAATGTATTGAATTTACAGAAATATGTCTATTTTTAAATAGGCAGATCATCTCAATAAATGTATAAATTTTTTTGTGAAGTTTCATTTTTATGATCCAGACCTTATCGAATCACATTCAGTAGGTTTTTTACATCTTTTTGATACAAATCATTAAATCTATCTTCGCAGGCAACGATTTTTCAAATCAGCAACTTCAACTTCTTTAATTTGATCTTCGATACCAATCATGTATGATTTCAGAGCTTTGCGAAATGCGGGAAAGAATGAAAGCGACTTGATATTCAAAGGCAGATGATTGTACATTTTTTTGGCATTGTACAGTATTGATCCTTTAATTAGTTCTGAGCTCGGGGTTGGCAGATAAAGATCGTGCTCCGCATTCCTAAGTGGATAGTTATGAGATGGCCTTTCGGAAATAGCAGATATGTGCTTGCGGATTAAGCAAACGGATTCAAAAATGAATAAAGAAGGAAGAGTCAGTATTTTGAAATTTTTAAAGAAATTCTGGCAGTGAGTTCTACTGTTCAGTCTCAATAAATATCGAACTGCTCTCTTTTGAAGTTTGAAAATACGATCAAATTTTGTTGTGCAGCAAGTAAGTACCCCA